ATGGGGGGAGGGAGGAAGGATGGATATGGGATCAGGCAAGTATATACCTCAACTAAGGGAATCATTTTAGGGTTTACAAGAGACTAAAGGGGATCCCCGGTCCAAGGAGAGATCCCCAGATGGTTCTCTGGACAGAGGAGAGGGTGCCTGAACCGGCGTTGGCCCACAACCATACTGATGATTATTTTGCATGTCACCATAGAACCCTCATCTGGCGATGGATGGAGATGGAGGCGGAGAACCACGTTGGAACACGGGACCTAGCTCCCTAGGTCCAAATAAGAGGCGATACAGATGGAGACCCATATTGGAACACCGAACTGAGCACTCCACGGTCCAAATGAGGAACAGAAAGATGAAGAAAATAAAAAAAGTAACCAGGACTGCGAGGGATGCGAGCACCCACTGATACAAGGGAACTGATATAATGAGAGTTCACCAAGGCCTGTTGGACTGGGACTGAACGAGCACGTGATCCAACCAGATTCTCTGAATGTGGCTGGCCCGGAGCCTTTTTGAAAAGCCATTGACAATGACACTGGGACTTGCTTCCTCTGCATATACTGGATTTTGGCGCTCCAGTCTGTTTGGACTCTCACCTTTCCTGGACCTGGAGGGAGGGGGGAGGAACTTGAACTTCCCACAGGGCAGGAAACCCTGACTGCTCTAGGGGATGGAGAGGGAGGAGAAGAGGGAGTGGGGGGAGTGGGAGGGTGTTGGGAGGAGGGGCTGAAATGGAAACTTTTATAATTTAATAAAAAAAAAATCAAAAAAAAATGTAGAGTTTCCTTATCCATTCTTTGGTTGAGGGAACATTTAGATTGTTTTCAGGTTTTGGCTATGACAAACAATGCTGCTATGAACATAGAGACACAATTGAGCATCCTTTGGATATATACCCAAACTTGGTATTACTGGGTCTTGAGAAAGGTTGTCCAAATGGATCAAAGAACTAAACATAAAGCCAGCCACACTGAACCTTATAGAAGAGAAAGTGAGAAGTACACTTGAACCCATTGGCAAAGGAGACCACGTCCTAAATATAAACCTAGCAGCACAGACACTGAGAGAAACAATTAATAAATGGTACCTCCTAAAACTTAAAGTTTCTGTAAAGCAAAGGACATAGTCAATAAGACAAAACTATAGTCTACAGAATGGAAAAAGATCTTCACTAGCCCCACATCAGACAGAGGTTTGATCTTTAAAATATGCAAAGAACTCAAGAAATTGGTCATCCAAAGAACAAATAATCCAATAAAAATAGAGTTCCTTTAAAAACGAATAAATGATCATTGTTTACATTTATTTCTCACTGCTGTCTTCCCCCACCTTCTCCTCCCCAACCATTTTACTGCATTCATGCAAGTTTGTCTGATGTGGTGGTAGCTTGTTTTTTTTGTGTCTTTTGTTTGTTTAGTTATGTTTTTACTTTTGATTTGAATAGTTACTTACAAAATCAAGCTCAGATTGAATAAAAATGTTCAAAGAGAAACAGCACATATGCTTTTCTGACTTTTGTTCTTAACAAAAAGTCTCAACTAAAACAAAGAAAAATTGTGGAGGAAGATAAAATTAAATGCCAACATATTGCCTAACACTTATAATTGTTAGCTATCACAAATTTTCTATAGTCAGAGTTCAGTGTACATATACAATAATTAAAATTAATAGCCACTAAAAGGAGTAATATATCTCATTTAAGGGAAAAACAAATGAAAGAAATCACATGGTTTTAAAATTGATATTTTTGTTTTGTTTTGCTAGTGACAAAATTTCTCTGTTGCTTTGGAGCCTGTTCTGGAACTCACTCTGTAGACCAGGCTGGTCTCAGACTCACAGAGATCTGCCTGCCTCTGCTTTCCATATGCTTGGATTAAAGGCATGCACCTACACTGCCCAGCTAAAATTGATACAATAAAATATTGTCACATGAAAACATACAACAAAGTCTTCTTTGATGTTAATGTTATTGTATGCATATTCATATACATAGTCATAAGAATCCAAACACATATGAAGAAATTTCATAATGTTTCTCAACTATACCTATATACAAATTCACCTGTTTATGGGGTTTCATCTCCACTACCTTCAGTAGCATATCTGCAGCAGAAGCTGGGAGTTGTAGGATGAGATAGACAATCATTCTAGTTTCTTTCTCTACAGATGCACGCACACACGCACACACACAGTTTTATAAACAATGTCTATTCCTTAGGGATTCACCGCTGTTTAGCTCAACTGTCAGGCTGAACTAAATACAATAGAAAACAGCCTAAATGCATCCATTGCTGACTTCACAGGCCTTTTTTTCTTTATGCCCTGCTCAATTCTAAAACATCAGTATTGTTTTATTGATTTATTCTCAGAGCAAATGTAATGCACAATTTATATAAACTGATGCATTTACCATTCATGTTCTAATAAAGCTGTAGTATTGGGGAATAATTCCTAGTTCACACTGAAGATTGATAGTATAAATCACATTAGGCTTTGCCTAAAGTATAGAGCAGAGACCTTCATCTTTTTTGTCAATTTCCAGAATGATTCCCTCTCCGTTTAGTTTGAATGAAGTAATATTTTGATTTTCTTTGGCATTGCTTAATTTCAAAGAATTCAGAAACCATTAGCTTTCTTATTAGGAGAGGAAAGATTAACTATGCTTTTACAGAGGCCAATTACTTCTGATAATATAACGGAGGCAGTGTTATGGGAATATATTTTATGAAAATCACATATGCTCCAAACATTTTCTAGTAAAACTACATTTGAATTGTTCTAATCTGTCCCTTCAGGTTTTATTTTATTTTTGTGTGTGCAACTTTAAAATTTCTTGTTCATGACTTTGTTAAAGTTCCAATCTTCAGTGTTTGAATTCCAATATTATAATTTTGATTAATATGACAATATTGCAATTAATAAAAATGATCACTTTTTATAAAGCATCCAACATTTTAAATGTTTTTAATTATCTTCATTGTATAAGAGTTTTGCCTTAAAGTTTATCTGTGGACCGGTGTGCCTAGTAACTGTGGAGACTAGAAAATAGCATTGGATGCCCTGCACTGGCTATACAGAAGTTATAGGTGATTATACCCTGCCATGTGGTTATCAAAAATTGAACCCACATCCCCAAGAAGCACAAGTGCTCTTCACTACTGAGATATCTTTCCAGTCCAACTAAGTCATACATTCTAAAATGATATCATGATTTTATAATTTGCCTAAAGTCTTTTATTGGATACCCTATGAATCCCTCTCTCTTTTTTCATCCAGGCACCAGCTTCTGCCCGAGTGTAACGACTTGCCTCTTCTTAGAGTGTGCAATGAAAACATCATTTATAATTTTTGTTCTGTTTGCTAAGCTTATCACAATAAAGAAACTTGGGAGAACTAATTGCACAATCTGAAAAGAAAACACCGAAATAACAGAACTGCGGGGCACCTGCAATTATTTAAGCTGTTGCATCATGGTGTTCACTCGCTCACAGCGTCGATGGATCGAAAGGCAGAATAAAGATCCCATGACTCTGCCTTCAACCATTTTCATCCTCTGCTTAGAAGATTTTGAAAAAAATAACGAACTGACCAATTATCAAGGCATTCCCTCTACAATAGTTTACTTGGTGCAATACATAAATACATATGTATTAATACAATACTTAACATATATGCAGTGTCTAACTTTATTGACTGAACCGGTTTTTTATTCTCATATTCTTAACAGGATTTATAAATGCAAGAGGATGCTTCAGTGAAATATTTCTCAAAGTAGAATTTATTTTAGTTCCACAAAGCCAAAATATTCTGAAAGTAAAAAATTCCAGAATACAGTGATTTAAAAAAACAGGCATAAACTAAACTGAGTCTATCTTAAAGACCTTATATATATACATTTTACCAAAAACACATAATTAATCCTTTATGTGTGCATTACTGAATTCATAAATTAGATGTTGTTTGATGTGTTTGTTATCTTACTTGAACATTCTTTTGTAAAACAATAAATTCATGAATGAACTATGAGAATTAATATAGAGGCTGTAAATCTCCTATCCCCAATCAAAGAACACACATCAATTTATTCTAAGTTTTTAAACACTAGAAAATCTTATAATATTATGACATGGTGACTATGAGTTCAGAATGATGCAGTAGAGAAACCTGGGACATTGATGTAGAGATATTATCAAATCTGGCTTTAATAATAATCAGTTGTATAAATTGGTCATATTGCTGTTATTTCCTTAAATCCGGTGCTTGCTAAAGGGTTCCGGGAAGCTTAATTGAGATGATGTAGGAGGTTAGATTTGAGATTTTAAAATAGTGATTTCAGTGTTGAACTATTGTTGTTATTGCTGTTATAACACTAATTATTATTAATGTTATTTGTGGCTTTATTCACAGAAGATAATGAAGGAAATATTGCTTTTCAGTGTTTTACATTAATATTTCATGGTTCAAAAAATTCTTACATAGGAGAAATAAATACACTTGATATTATATTCCTAAGAAATGATTTCATAATATTTTTTAAAGCAAATAATGAAATTACAAAAAGAACTGCTTAATCAGATGGCTGATTAGCTTAAGTTACTTTTTTGGATCAGTTGCTTTTGTGTGGCAGTGTCTAAATGTCTGACAAGAACTTCTGTACAGTGGTTTGATTTTGCAGAATTTTGTGGAGGGATCCCGTCTACTGAGGTGTGGGGTGTATATCATCACAACCGAGGCAGTTGGTTACGTTATGCCTGCTCTCAGGAAAGAACGGCAGATCAGAAGCGGGATCGTGCTAGAAAATTGCCAATCACACACCAAGTGGCCTATTCTTTTTGGGTGGCTCTATCTTCTAAAGATTCCAGAACCTTCTACTGCAAAACCAACACGTAGGAACCGCGTTCAAGCACATGAGTCTTCAGAGTCATGTCACATTTAGAGCACAGCACGAATCAATAGGTATTATTTATTTTATACTGAGTAAGTAGAGCTGCCCTCACCTGCGAAGAGTAGGAATGCCCATCGGAACCACAAACGGGGCTGCCATAGGCCACAGGGCAGGGCTTACAGGTGGATGGCCGGAGACCTCTCCCTTGCTTATGGCTTCCTCCTACTTCTTTCATACTGCTGGCAAAAAAAGACATAAAACAAAAGAAAAGAGCCATAGTTAGTGCATTCAATTTTCAAAATTAACTTTATGTGAAACTGCCTTATCTAACCTGTCATAACGATGCTTGATGTTGAGCGATTATCTCTCTCATCACAGTTATCTCTGCACACTCTTCTTCTTGATCTAGTGCTACCTTTTCAGATTCCACAGTTCTTCCAGTGAAATGAGACTGTACTTCTCAAAAGGATTGTGCTAGTCACAGAGAGTGTGGGAGTGTGGTTATATTATTCTATGTGCATTCTTTAATTTTTAGACATGAAATAGGTTCTTGATAAGTCAGAAGCACAAAACTCAAGATTTCTGGAAACTTCTTCAAGTTTGCCCTTGTAGTCTCTTAGGAAGGGAAAAAGAGACACCTGGCTTAATGCTTGCTTAAAAAGGAGAGAGCTGACTTTTAGAGAAACAGCTACAAAGTACCAGGAATTCATAGCATCTAGCAGTGTTTAAAGAGCCAAATTACCAGGTTTATTGACAACAATCCCCCCAATGCTGTGAAGGGTCTCAAAATGGACTCCTTAGACTTTGATCTAAAATAACTCTGGAAAATCCATTCCTATTTTTATTGCATCGCAAAGACTCTTCCCCCTTGTTTACACTACTCATTTCCTTGTCTATTTGTGGGAACAGTTTACAAGAAAGAAAAGGACTAAGAAATGAGAAAGTGACTGGGAATCTATACAAAGACAGATCCTTTTATAGAATGTGGTAAGTCAATATCTATTCACTGTAATTTTCTATGCAGAGAGTAATCCAATGTCTCTGTGACACAAGAATGTTAAAAAGACTATGGACTCCTTCTCATGATTTTATATATGTTAATAATTTTTATCCTTTATGTTTTAAACTAGGAAAACAAGCTTACAAAGTGTTGCAGCTAGACAATATTCAAAAAATACACCATAAAACATTTTATCATAGGAGAAGAAATTTAAGTTTCATCTGAAATACAGGCTTTAAAATCTATCTATCTATCTATCTATCTATCTATCTATCTATCTATCTATCTATCTATCTATGTATTTATCTGTTTGCTTTTGGTCTATCATCTATCTATCTATCATCTATCTATCTATGTATTTATCTATCTGTTTGCCTTTTGGTCTATCATCTATCTATCTCCTCATCTCTTTCTCCCTTCTCCTTTCCTCCCCTTTCTTCCTCTATCACTTTATCCCTCCACATTCCTCATTCCCCCTCACTTCTCCTGCCTCTTCAGAGATTGTTCCTATACAGACTGATATAATGTCTCCAAATATTTCAAATATAGTTTTTATTTCTTACATGTAATTTATACTTATTGATTATATTCTAACCTTCTTTGCTGCAGAATTGACTGGAAATACAGTGGAGCAACGATCTACTATGGAATAAAGGTTCTAATACAGATTAAAATAATGGATAGAAACCCTATCGTACTGTTTCGAGCCTCATCAATGACAAAAGTTGAGTATGGCTTAAATATCGTGGTATATAATATCTCAAGTATTATGAAGTACTTCATTTTTTCAATTCTGATTAATAGTTCTGTACATCATGGAAAATAATTTTGCCTCGAGTATGTATTACATGTGTCTTTATGTGTATATTCATTCGTGAAGATATATATCTGTGCTTGTGTGTGTATATTTTGTTTGTAAGTGTGTGTGTATTCTCACCTGTGAAGGTGAGTCTGTGTATGTATATTCAACTGTGAAGGTGTACATGTGTGTATTTGTGTGGATGTGTGTGTCTTTACCTGTGAAGGTAAAGGAGGTCATATGGAGGTCAGAGGTTGGCACTGAGATGAGTTTCTCAAATGCTTCATCTTGAAGTCCTTTGAGACAGAATTTCTCTCTGAACCTATATCTCAGCATTCTGGCTACAGAATCTAGACACCAAGCCCTAGGAATATACTTGTTTACAGCAACAGTTGCATGAAAACACATCTGATTTTAGGGAAGCTCTTGCATTCCAAAATTAGATTCTTATGTTTGTACAGCAGGTAACTCACTAACTATTCCCTAAGTGTTTTCAGAAATCATTCATAACGTCCTGAAATAAAATTCTGTGTATGTTCCCCATCAAAGATTCTATTTACAGTGTTTTCCATAGAGATATTCAGTTCCCAGTAAAATGCATTGATAGATGAAGCAATAACTGAACATTATAGCCCTCAATATCGATATTTCATGTATCATATGAACATATATACACGTGTATTTTATTTACTCATATGCAAACCATATATATAATTATATTACATAATATGTATATGAATGAAGTATTTTTGTTATTGCTGTTGTTGTAATTTCATTTTTAATATTACCTGAAGACTCTGGGTTAAAAAAAATATTATTGGCAGTCATTGGACAGGCCAACAGGAACAAAGTGATTTGCTTGAGAAATGAAAAGCTAGTTCCTCCTATCAGGATTGTTTCCTGGCAGCAAGAGTTGTAGCAATGACTAGAGAAACACTCAATCTGGAGAAAGCATTTGAAGATATATTAGACTAAATACTCAAGGCACAGAAGGATTTTTAATGTCAGAGGGTAAATCTAAATTTGATGTTATTTATTCTCTCTCTCTCTCTCTCTCTCTCTCTCTCTCTCTGTGTGTTTGTGTGTGTGTGTGTGTTGTGTGTTTATGTGTGCTTGTATTTGTAACACCATGTCCCATGTCCTACATGTGGACTTTAAGAGACAACTGTAATATTCAATTTTCTTCTTGAGAACGTGGATTCTGGGTGTCAAACTCTGGTCAGCAGACTTGATGGATGCTCACTGAGTCGACTCCTCACTCCTAAACTCTTTTTGAGGACTCTGCTTCAACTATACTATCGTTAAGATTACTGTTATTTACTCCCATTGGTAGAATACAAAACTCATAATGGGTAAAAACTAAAAATATTTTGAAGTATTTTCCAACAGCAATTTTGAGATGTCTACAATTATGGGAAATAATTTTTAACCAAATATTTGAAGTTTTAAGTTAAAATTTGATTTACTTTCTAAGGGAAGTCTCTCTCTCTCTCTCTCTCTCTCTCTCTCTCTCTCTCTCTCTCTCTCCGTGAATACATCCTTTCCCCCATAAGGAAAAATGCTGTGTTTATGCACTCAGGGAAATTGGGTCCTAGATTAATATATGCTATCTCAGTTTCTTTCCTCTCACAATTTTCTTTCTAAATCTCATCACACAAAGCAATAAGTGGGCTGTATGCTAACATCAACATTTTTGTTGTCTAATAGCTACACAATAAAATAGACAAAGGGAAGTTTTAGTATGACCAGAACCGCTCTCACATGTAGGCTAGACACACAGAGGAGACAGGGAAACTCGCTGGTTGTCATTTAAACTTCAGTCCTTTTATTCTCCGCTGTTTAGTAAAGGTAACATGGAGATTCTCTTATGAAAACACCATCATTTTATTTTTCTAATAATCATAACATTCCTCATAACTGCCTCTGTGGACCCAATTATGGTTTATTTAGATTTTATTAGTTACGTGTGCAGTACATTTTACAATATACTTTGAACCATTTTAGAAAATGAGAAATGTTTCCTACATGATTAACACTGAAAAAGTACCTCATTTCAACTTGATTTGCTTCATATATGATCACACTACTAATCATTTGTGATGAGTTCCTGAAACCTCCTGAATCTTAGTTAAATCACTTATAAATTTCTAGGCTTAATCACTCTGCTTCATTTCCTCCTAAACAATCCAAGAGGCTATAATTCCAATACAATTACATACATGATTATAATCAATAAAAAATAGAAGCATAGAGAGTACAAGCCATGCACTATCTGTGTGCTATTACTTTTGAATTTGATAGTGTTTCCCAGTAAAATGAATATAGCTTTAGGTAGTTAAGAGGAAATGTAATTGACCTAGAAATTGTTAAGTATTTTAATTAGGAATAATATAAGCCATTTGAAGGCAATCAGTGACAGACATGGGATGAAAATTAAAATTTATCGGCAGACAAAAATTTTGACAATAACCATCTCCCCTTACTTCCACTCCCCGATGATTAGAGAGAAGGGAGAAGGGGAGGATGGAGGATAGCTTGGGGGAATGGGATGGGAGGGAGGGAGGAAGGATGGATATGGGAGCAGGGAGGTATATATCTCAACTAAGGGAGCCATTTTAGGGGTTTGCAAGATACTTGATTCTAGAGGGGTTCCCAGGTCAAGGAGAGGCTCCCAGATTGTTCCCTGGACAGCAGAGGAGAGGGTGCCTGAACCGGCCTTGGCCCATAACCATACTGATGAATATTTTGCATATCACCATAGAACCTTCATCTGGCTAAGGATGGAGATAGAGACAGAGACACATATAGGAACACTGGACTTAACTCCCTAGGTCCAAATGAGAAGCAGAGGGAGGGAGAACATGAGCAAGGTAGTCAGGATCAGAGGGAACCTTCATCCGATGATAGATGGAGATTGAGACAGAGACCCACATTGGAGCACTGGACTGAGCCCCCAAGGTCGAAATGAGGAGCAGAAGGAGGGAGAATATGAACAAGGAAGTCAGGACTGCGAGGGGTGCGTTCACCCACTGATACAAGGGGACTGATCTAATGAGAGCTCATCAAGGCCAGCTGGACTGGGACTGAACGAGCATGTGATCAAACCGGATTCTCTGAATGTGGCTGATATGGGGGCTGTCTGAGAAGCCATTGATAATGGCACTGGGACTTCTTTCGTCCACATGTACTGGCTTTTTGGGATTTTAGTCTGTTTGGATGCTCACCTTCCTAGACCTGGAGGGAGAGGGGAGGAACTTGAACTTCGCACAGGGCAGGAAACCCTGACTGCTCTCAGGACTGGGGAGGGAGGAGGAGTAGGAGTGGGGGGAGTGGGAGGGTATTGGGAGGAGGGGAGGAAGTGGAAATTTTTATAAATTAATCATAAAAACATTTGACAATAAAGAGGATTGATTTGATTTTGTTTTAAAAATTACCAA